GATTCCTCCTATGGCCAAATTGAGGCCGAAATCCCGGCCAAACGGCCGGAATACGCGGCAGAAACCCAGCGGCGCTGCCGCGCCCCTCTCGGTTTTTGCCTCCGACGAGGTCCTTCCCGGCCTCCGTTCGATGCAATTCTTATATCACCGTGATCACCATTCTTTCCTCTACAGGTTGACCGAAGCCGAATCACCAAAGCACGAACCTCGCCGGAGAGCCGCCGTACCCGAGAGCGCCGCCGCCGGTAAGCTCCGCTTTTCCGTGATTTTTGGCCCCCCCGAGGGCCCTAGGGTTGTTTTCTGACAAGGACCAATGCGAGTGTGGCCGAATTCGGCCAAAAACGGCCGAAAACAGCCAACCCGAGGCGTCTCGCCACCGCCAGCGGCGGTGCCGTCGCCGGAGCACGGCGGAGCCGCCGTGCCGGAGTTGCGATTTGGTCCGAAAGGGGCCCTGGGCCTAATTTGGAATTTTTTTGGAACACGTGCAGGTACTGTTAGTGTGTTTCAGTTCCCCGGGAAAAATTCAGGGAAAATTAGGGACGGCCTGCAGGCGCACTGTGAATCGTATTCGGATCCCGAAAACAAGTAAGGAACCCTCACCCTATTTCCTATCACGGTATTAAAGTTCAAAATGATAAAACAGTATTTCTTGAATTAACGCATGTGTGAAATTGCTTAAGGTTGCTAATGGAGCCCGAGTCTAGTGTGATTTATGATTTACTGTTATTTGGCCTGTTTTACAGCTTTAAATGCATTATGAGTTTTGATGTGTTCATTTTATAGTTTCGAGTGCATATATTACTGTTTTATTTATTTATGGGTTGAAAGACTGAAGAACTGATACTGTATGTTGTCTGTTTGGCATGAATTACGATTTGCTTCCTTAAATGTGAATTGATGATGCTTATTGAGGAAAAGGAAAATGAAAGATTGTGTAGACTGATAATTGGATTATGGGGTTAGCCTGACTAGATATCCTGGGAGTTGGTGGACGGACCGGGTCCGTAGGGAACCCTACCGGGATTGTGGTCTCACATGCCGGACGGGGTTGGAGATCTTATGGTTTTGGCGCCCATACCGGACGGGGTATGGGGACGGCCCGTTTCACCCTCATACCGGACGAGGTATTGAGGTTTATGGTTTTGGCGCCCATACCAGACGGGGTATGGGGACGGCCCGTTTCACCCTCACACCGGACGGGGTATTGAGGTTCAGGGTTTTGGCGCCCATACCGGACGGGGTATGGGGACGGCCCTGGAAACTGATTATGAATGTTAAAGGTTAACGGGTAGCGGAACCCCTATGGACCCCCATGGATACTAGTAGGCTGGTAAATGAGAAAAGGATATGTTGTATAATGATTGAATTACAAAAGGCGTGATAAGTGCTATGTTTTACAGCTTATATTATTCCATGTTTGTGATAATGTTATTGTTTTCTTATATTGTTTCATGAATTCCACCGAGGTAAGTGGATGGTAAAAGTTTTATCATAAATAAAAGGATTTGTTGCAAATCATGCTCCATTGGTCTTTTGTGTTTTCTACCCACCTTTACCTCCGTGACGGTGAGATATCGTGATGTTCTTACTGGGCTAGTGTAGCTCACTCCTTATTTAACCATTTCAGATCAGGAAGACATGGTTCCCGAGCCCGTTCCACAGGAGGATGACGAAGGGGATGCCTAGAGACTCTGTAGTCATACTCATAGTTTTATTTTCGAGTTTCTCTCTTAGTTAGTTTAATCTTTTATATTTTAAGTACGTTTTTGGTTTTTCGTGTAAGGGATGCTAACTGAAATTTTGATCTCGCTTCCGCATTTGATATATTTAGATACTCATTTCATTTTAATATTTCCGGGGCCGTTACATAAATATGAGTCTTCTTATGTTATTTTTGAAAAAACTTGTTACGAAAATACGAAATAAATGGTTTTCTTTATATTAAATGAATTTACATTAAATTAAGGGATCCATTAGTTATTTTTCTAATTTTTTTATCAATCTTCAATTTTTCGTATATGTGATTAGTGTGATATTCTTACTGGGATAATATAGTTCACAATTTTATTAACTATTTCATATCAAGAGGAGTAAGATCCAGATCCCGATCAATAAGAGAGTTGTGAGTAGTTCACCATCCGGACTCCCTTCAAGAGTTAGTGAATGTTGTCCTAGGATGTTTAGTTATTCACTTTTCGTTTATTTCTTTAATTTCCATTTGTTATTTTAGAAAATATATTCCCGTAACCCTATTGGGCATTCTAAATTATTGTATAAGGAATGTAAACTCTAACTCTATTATTTACTTCCATATTTAATTTACAAATTTATTTCCATTTAAGTTCCAAACTTTTACAATATCTAGGATAAATTCAGCATTATTAATGAAAAAATTAAGGATAGAAATTCGGCTCTGAATAAGAATTCGTCTTCCTTTGGGTTTGCTTCATCTTTTATGATTCTAACTCTTTTTAATTAATTAATTTTTGGAAGTAAAAAATCCTCTTAGACTCTAGAATGTCAATCCGACTCTAGCATCCATGTTGCTGTAATTCCTACTCCTAAAAGGACTATTGAAAGATAAAATTATATTCTTTATGCTCAATTCTCGTGAGTTCCCCCCTCCTGCTCGTATCATAAATACGAACCCAAGTAAGTATATATACAAAATCTAGATCCAACCCGAATAAACTTACACCCGATGTAAATTTATTAATTTTATATTCTTCTTAATCCAATTAGTTGTGTTTTTTTGTGAAGCTTGAGCCGAAGTTTATATATACAAATTATACAAACCAAATTAAGATATATATATATTTGTAACTAAACTGAAAAATATTATATATTTTAAATTAAAATAAAAAATATTATATATACACTAAATTAAAATATATAATGCATGTATTTTTAAAACAAAAATATATTATGTATATAATTGGGTTGAATTTGGACAAATTTGCCCTTCTAAATTGATCTCGACTTAATGACAATTCAACTTAAAATCAACTTGACTTGACTTTTTTTTTCTTTTAAGTTGAAATAGATCACATGAGTTAATTATCATTTATTTTTTTCATCTTTATATACTTTAAAAAGAACAAAAATAGAAACAAGAGAGGTCACTTGTGGTTAATTTAGGAAAGAAAAGTATAAGCTGCATATAAGTAATTTTGGGCACAAGATAATTAAAAACTATAATGATAGAATGAATAGTTGAAGTGTACAATCTATAGACATATAAAATTGATACATGGGCTGTTAGTATTAGGTTTAACATTTTTATAAATTAATTTTTTTAGATGAGGTGAGAAATAAGAATTCTAAATCAAGTTGTCAATTTTATAATAAAATTAAAATTATTATGTCACATGAATTAAATATTTTATTTTAATATATTTAATTTTTTTATAAAAAAAATTTAGTGAGTAATAGAATTAAAACATTCTTCATATTCATATGACAGTTTAATAGATGAACTTCGTTATATAATATTAATTAAATTGTTACTAAGAAGGTAGAAATCAAGTCTTAAAATATGTTAATAACATGAGGTTTTGGATAAACAACAATCTTTAATAATAAATATTTAATTAATAAATTTATAGAATTGATAATATAAACAAAAAAAAAAAAAGATATTTTACAAATGTGATGTAAACTAAGTAAAGGGATAATATAAAGTAAAACGAAAAGAAAAGAGCAAGTTTTCAACAAGGTCTTTCGTCTCCACAACTTGTTCGGCCAATTTCATGTTTTGTTTTTTGTTTTTATTATAAAACATGCACTGTATTTTAATTTTAATTATTAGTTTCATCTTACCATATTTAGTCTAAGCTAAGTTAGGATGATTACTGCAATATTATAATTCAATTTTTAAAAATATTATTTATGTTTAATTTAAATTTAAAAACTAGATTATAATTAAAAAAAAAAAAAACTAAATGTAACATAATTCATAATTTATTAATAAATTATCACAAAATAAATTGAAGGCCAGTTATTCTCAAAATTGTATTTGTATATCTTGTACAAATATATAGTCTTTTTTTAATAATACGTAGAAGAAAATAATAAAGTAGCTTAATGTAGTTTTTAAAAATAAAAATAAAAATAAAAATTTAGGCAAATAATTTTCACTATGGTTTGGAACTTTTCATTTAAGATTACACCGCCTTAAATTTGTATATATAATTTTGCCGTATGTTTTATATATATATATATATAAATCTTTATTTGTCCTGTGTGAATTAATGAACCGTATCTCTGATTCAAAGCTCAAAATCTTTTTATTGAAATACCAATAGAATCAAGATTATTTTTTTTTATATGCCCTCTCTCACCATATTTTTAATTTTTTAATTTATGAACAGTTCTTTCATTAAATATTTATAATTTATGAAGAGTTTATTTATGTATTTTTTTTATAAAAAAATTATAAACTCAAATTACCACCTCACTAACTCATTGTCAGAATGATAGAAGCCCTAAATTGAAGCAGTAAAAGCCTGGGATGGGGGAAAATAATAATAATAATTATTATAATTATTTAAGGGGCGTCAAAATAGTAAATAAAGCAAAAGGGTGAAAGTGAAAGAAAGAGGGGAAGAAGAACAAAGGCTTCTTCTCTCATCATCTGCTTCACCCGCCGCCTTCAAAACAAAGCAAAGGGAGGACTGGGAGGGAGAAGAATCTCTTCATCTTCTTAAATTTTCTTCTTCTTTCTCTTCAGTCTTCTTCCGTTTTCCTTATAACTTCCTATTTGATTTCATATTCAGATATTAATCATCTCTCTCACATTCACATTCACATTCACATTCACATTCACATTTTTGTTTGGACTGCCTTCAACGCAAAAGTGAACAAGAAAAATCTTTGTTCCTACTAATTATAGGCTTAAATTCCTTTTTACATACAAAAAAGTTAGAGAGCAGAGCAGAGGTTGAGCCAGAGGAGGCTGCAAAGCTAGAAAGCTTTGTAAACACCGTCGTTTTTCAACGAGGTGGCGTTCTCATTCTATCTCTTTCTTTTTCCTTTTTTTTTTTTTTTTTCTTTTTTGCTTCTTATGATATCTATGTCTCTGTGCATGTTCACTTCTCGTCCTTCGGTTTTATCAGAGCAAAGTCTCTGTGTGTTGCTTATATAACCATTTGCTACTGCTATATAAAGTATTCTTTCTGCTTTATTATCAGATTAATAGATAACAGCTCGAAGACAGAAACCATGAAGTATGTATTGGTCACTGGAGGTGTAGTTAGTGGACTGGGCAAAGGAGTCACGGCCAGTAGTATTGGCCTTCTCCTTAAAGCTTGTGGCCTTCGCGTTACTTCCATTAAGATTGGTATTCTTTTTTGTTGTTTATTTATTTATTTATCTATTTGCCTCTGTCACAGAATCCCGTGTGTTTTGCCTTTTTTGTTGCATGTAAATTTCAGTGTTTTGTTTGTGATCCAACTTTAGTAGGGTAGACCTGCATTGTTAAGGTGACCGTACCGTCTGTACTAAGTTAACACCCCATCTTTTTGCTCATCTCTTTCTGCATGTTTGTATCTCTATCTGTATGGTCTACTCTACCTAAAACTTCTTAGACTAGTAGCAGTTGTTTTTGCTGTTTCTGCCTTCAAATCAGTAACCTTTGTCTTTTGTCTGTTTTTGTTTTGTCTTTCTTTCTTTTCTCTTTTCTAAATGGGCATGGCTGCGGTCTGATCAAGTAAGTTTGTGTTTAATTAAACCAGTTATTACATGCTACGGAAATGGTTCCAATTTTTGTTGAGCTCAACTCTCTTCAATGGGATTAAACATACTTATGCGTACGCAGTTGACTGCTTTTACTTGTCCATTCCTAGTTTGATGAGGTTTTAGTTCTATTGCCAATTCCATGTACAATAAACATGTTACTTTATTTGGTGTTATCCCTTTTTCTTTAAAATTGCTTTTGTTAGCTTGAAGTTCCTGCTTTCTGACAATCTTATCTTTCTGGTGTGTGCAATATTTGCAGATCCATATCTGAACACAGATGCTGGAACAATGTCTCCCTTTGAGCATGGGGAGGTTTTTGTCTTAGATGATGGTGGAGAGGTACGAGCTTTTTAGTGCTTTCTCTACTGCCAATACTGTGCTTTTAGGCTTGGCCCATGGCATACATAATAGTAACGAAGTATGACCTTGCTTACCTTTTTCTTCAGGTGGACCTTGACCTTGGAAACTATGAGCGGTTTCTAGACATCAAGTTGACCCGTGACAATAATATAACAACTGGAAAGATATATCAGGTTGGCTTACTATTTTCTTTCCAAATTTCAGAAACTTGCAGGTCATGTTCTTCTACTGTTAATTATGTATTTTCGTCTTTGAATGTTGGCAGTCTGTTATTGACAAGGAGAGAAAGGGAGATTATCTAGGAAAAACAGTGCAGGTTTGTTTGTTTGTTTGTTTTTTCCCCCTAATGTTGTGCTCTTCTTGTTCAAAGCATTTATCAGTGTAGTATGGCAGAGATTTTGATTTATAACTTTTGCCTCTTTAGGTAGTTCCACACATTACAGATGCCATTCAAGAGTGGATAGAGCATGTGGCAGAGATCCCAGTAGATGGTAAAGAAGGACCTGCTGATGTTTGTGTTATTGAATTGGGTGGAACCATAGGTACATCTGGCACTTTCACCTGACTTTCATGTTTGCTAAAGTAGTGTCTTTTTCTCGGTTGGCTTAGAAATACCTTCTCTTCTTGCAGGTGACATTGAGTCTATGCCATTTATTGAGGCCCTTGGCCAATTCTCATACCGTGTTGGTAAGACGCGTGTGCCTCAGTTGTTATTTATTGGCCAACAAAATCAATTTACTTTCATGTGTTCAGGTAGACTGATATTTTTCTATAAATGTTATTTGTTCCAGGACCTGGCAATTTTTGCTTGGTTCATGTCAGCCTTGTGCCTGTTCTTAATGTTGTTGGTGAACAGGTATATCTAGAGTCCAGACATTTTTATATGTTGAAGCATTATTATGTTCACATGCTAGGTTCAAGTATGACAAAATTTATCTTGTTAATTTATTATGTGCAATTACTCTTGCGATTTACTTATGGCTGGGGTTGAATTTGCAAAATGCAGAAGACAAAGCCTACCCAGCATAGTGTTAGAGGGCTTAGGGGGCTTGGTTTGACGCCAAATATTCTAGCTTGTCGGAGTACAAAGGTGAACAGCTGGTCCTTTTTTGTCCATCTTATGTTTCTTCAAACTGTATGCAACAGAATTTTACTTGGCTTTCCTAACCCTTCTTTCATCAGGCACTAGATGAAAATGTCAAAGGAAAGCTCTCCCAATTTTGCCATGTGCCGGTATTGCTTTATAAGTTACTTTGACGTTTTATTTTGAGCAGCTTTTCATCCATCAATAACTTATCTCTTACAATTTTCTTATTTGCAGGCAGAGAACATTGTCACTCTATATGATGTTCCAAACATTTGGCATGTTCCTTTACTACTAAGAGTGAGTTGTTTTTTCCTGAAGCATCTTGAGCTGTCTTGTTTCTATGTTCATCTGAATATTGTTTTTCACCTCATGCTAAATAGGATCAGAAGGCGCATGAAGCAATCTTGAAAGGACTGAATCTTCTAGGGTTTGTCTCACGAACTCATTCTCCATTTGCTGTATTGTTCCTCATACTTCCTTTTCTGCATGGCTTTTCATGATCTCTCTCCTCTTTTAGATTTTGATGGTGTCATCTTCTTAATGCCCTAGCATGCAGGATCTATTATTGTTTGTATTGCACTCTAATAATATTTACTTGATATGCAGTGTTGCCAAGAAACCTGATTTAACAGAGTGGACTGCTAGGACCAAAGTTTGTGACATGCTGCAAGATTCTGTGAGTTGCTTTGCGCTATATGAACTATAATTGCTCTTCTATGTATTGTGAATTTGAATACAAATGAAAGTTTGTTGCTCTACAGGTTAAAATTGCAATGGTTGGAAAATACACTGGCCTTTCAGATTCTTACCTCTCTGTCCTAAAGGTGAATTATAATAGTTGTTTCCTTTTTTCCGTGCTCTTGTGATATATTTATTTAATGATGTAATTCTCTCGCTTTCTAATTATGTTTTATTTAAATATTTCATTAACTGGAAATGATGGATAATGGTTATGCATTCCTGATGTAACCACTTCTGCATTCTCCTGAGATTTTATTGATAACATGGTATATTTAGCTCAGATCCGTACACGCATTCTAAACTTCTGTCCCTTTTTTGTAAATGGGCGGGCATCACTTTTGGTGCCAATACTAATACATACTAAATACTTTTTATTTTTTATTTATAAAAAAGCTTCTGACCCTTTTAACATGTCAATTCTGTGTCTAGTCAATTAAAATACTTTTTTGGCTTGT